AAGCTAGACTTCGAGCTCAAGCTGAAAGGCAGGCTACTCAAAGACGGCAAGAAACTATTGAACAGCACAAAGCCAGAGTTCAGTCAGAATCATCAAGGCAAGCTAGATATAGACAACAAGAAACTTCTGAACAACGTCAAACCAGACTTCAAGCACAAAAACTAAGACAAATAACTTACAAAGAGCAAGAAACAGAGGAGCAACATGATGTACGACTTCAGGCTCAAATAAAGCTTTGTTTTATTAAATACTTTTTTATTTCTCGCATCGCAGTTTTGTCTAATTACTGAATAATTTGGTGAAAAAAAATACTGATATATACATTTCAAACCTAAATTTTCACTGTGCAACGCCGGGTAACTCAGCCAGTTAACAATAAAAAAGACAAGCAATATTATCAAGATGTGTGTATTTTTTATACACAACTACGTGAGGATATGATGTTCCTGGATCATGATCCTAAGGGGATTATCACCTAAAATATGCAAGAGTTCAATTAAACTTAGTCAAACGAGAAAAAAAAAGCTAAATAAAAAATCATTTCATGATCTTGACATTTTAATGTCTCCTAAATGTTACTTTGAATATCTATTAAATTTATCTAATTATATTAAACGTATTATAGATAACATGATCTTGTCAGGGCCAACTTTATTTCATATCACTTTCAAAGTGGGCAGTCACATTTAAGGATTATGTAGTCACATTTAGGGATTTCGAGAGAATTCTCATTCAAGGGATCAGTAGATCAACTCGTGTACACATTGAGAACCTCGAGTACAAATTAACGAATCAACCCCAATATAACCAAATGGTTTTGTTTATTTGTTGTGAAGCACAAAGCTACACGATGGGTTATCTGTGCTCTGCCCACTGCGGGTATCCAAACCCGATGTATAACGTGTAAAGTCCTCAGACTAACCACTGAGTCACCAGAGGTCATAAACAAAAGATTATAAAAATAGGAAAAAGAGCATGATACAAACCACACCGAAGGAACTGGAGTTTATAACACGATCGGCATCTTACGAGCACATGGGCTAAACGGCCAGATATAGCCGTCCCATTTTTTATACTAACAACACGGTTAGTAGCCAGTAGCACCCGTCGCAATAAGTTCTTTTTTTAGGCTTTATGGATCAAATAATGGGATTGACTTCCATTTTTTCACATCTGAAAAATGCAGCACGAATCCAATGGCGCCCTATCTTGAATCGTAGACCCTTCTATTAGCAGCTCAACAAACTAAGCATTTGACCACACGTAAAACATCAGTTATTAGTGTTAATAAAGTAGATATCACTGACAGAATCTGAAAACTCATTTTACTAATGTTAAAAAATATTTGTTCGGTAATTTCAAAAGGTCAAAATACTGTAACTAAGAAACTTTATTAAACTATAATAAATGAATAAATATAAAGAATAACTGAGGCTACTGCAACAGCATCTTCACGCAACGTCGATGTGGTTTGCCTTTTGTTGAATTTTGTTTCTAGTCGTACGTAAAATGAAACGCCGTCAAGAAGCAGAATAAAAATTTCAAAAGTTTTACTTCAGCAAGATGATTTTAGTGCGTTTTTTTCTTTCGAAAAGACTGTTTATAATTGATTCCCAAAATATAGCTTGCAATAGATAATT